CATTTGCATATAAGCATTAGTGAAGACATTAGTAGACGGAGTCAGACAGACAGCATTCTGAAGTCAACACTGTTTGCCTGTTAGCAAAATATCTTCAGAATCATACAGTATGTTGGACTTAAATAAAACTTTTAGGTAATAAAAATTGGACTAACCTTTGCAACTGATTGCATTCCCATTCAACGTGGCCATGGAAGCTTTGAAAACACAAACATGTCTATAAATCAGTTAGCTGTTCACACATTGAGCTAACATTTGACGTGGTGGTAGCTGAGATCATTTACAACACAGAGTTTGAGCGTGACTTCTTGCAGTTTTGCACAAGATTTGACAGTTTTAAGTTATTTTCAAGGTTTGTCCAAAGTCTTAGTTTAAAACTCTGGCATGACGACCTTCACTGTGAGTTACTTTAGGGAATACTAGATGTTTAATTTTTGAAAGAAATCCCTAGATCTGAGGACTGAAGGTGGCACAGAAAGTCACATGACATGGACATTGAACAAAGCCAATGAGGAATGTGTCGGGCCTGGGAAAATGCTCTTTTTTTACATTTTCTATCTAACAATCAGCAATCATTTTCAGTACATTGAGTTCTTTTACACTGTTTTTAACTATTTTACCTCCTGTGGTGCCACAGAAATTTGTAAGTATATATATATATATATATATATATATACTGTACACGCACTTAACATAATTTTGTCATTATCATAAGTGTTCAAGATTATGACTTGTGGAGATAATTATCAGGACTACAATACGGACTGCAGGAACTTTGTGGCTCCGTACTCTACTGACTGCTATGGATAATACTTTATTATAGAGACAACATTTTGACAATACCTGCATACTTAACAAGGATGTGAACACACTGCAGGATTTACAATTCAGTTCAATTCAGTTTATTTATATAGCACCAAATCACAACAAAGTTGTCTCAGGGCACTTTACAGAAACATTCACATAAATAGAAAAGCCAATTATGTCTACAAATCACTGAACAGCGCCCCCCCCCCCCCCCCCCCCCCACCCCCCCACCCCCAATCTCTCTCATCTGCTACAACCGTATGTCCCATTATGTTCCCTGAGGTCAGCGGACCAGTTGCTCCTCACAGTTCCAGGAACTCGTCTTAAGTGCAGAGGGGACAGGGCCTTCTCTGTAGCAGGACCAAGACTTTGGAACGAGTTACCTCTGCTTGTCAGACTAGCCCTCTCGGTTTTCAAGTCCCGTTTAAAAACCCACTACTATTCGGTAGCTTTCAACACCAGATGATCTGTGTTTTGATCCTGTACGCTCCACACTGGTTAGTCGTCATTATCTGCATCGTTTTTATGTCTATATTTCTGATTTACTTCATTTTATATATTGCTTCATGTGTTACCTGTTGTTCTGTCTGTACAGCACTTTGGTTGGCCTTGTCGCTGTTTTAAGTGCTCTATAAATAAAATGGTATGGTATGGTAATTAGTAAAGGAAGCCAGCAGACATGTTGAATCTTCACTTCGTTGCAGTCTCCCATCCTGAGCAAGCACAGTGGCAACAGTGGAAAGGAAAAACTCACTTTTAACATGAAGAAACCTCCAGCAGAACCAGGCTCAGGACAAGCGGCCATCTGCTTTGACCGGCTGGTTGAGAGGACAGGAAGGAGAGACAGACGAACACAGAATGGTAGGTCCAGGTATAGGTCCAGGTCCAGGTATAGGTCCAGGTGCACCTGAAAGACAAGAAAAACACGTTAAAGATAGAAAAAATAATTGCAAATACAAAACAGATTGAACAGAGTAAGTAAAGACAATAGCAGAGTGAAAAAGTGTGGTCAGTTTGCCCTCCAGCAGTCTAAGCCTATAGCAGCATAACTAAGGGACAGCTCAGGAAACCCAAGTCGACCCTAACTATAGGATTCATAAAAAGGAGAATCTTAAGCCCAATCTTAAAACTGGATAATGTGTCAACCGCATAGACATAAACTGGAAGTTGGTTCCACAAGAGAGGAGCCTGATAACTGAAAGATCTGCCTCCCATTCTGTTTATGTAAATATAGGAACCACAAGTAAACCTGCAGCCTGAGAGCAAAGTGCTCTGTTAGGAAAATATGGAACAATAAGATCTGTAATATAAGATGGAGCTAGGTTAGGATTTACAGCGAATATACTAAAAAACACACGTTTGTGAGCCAAATGAATCTGCTGCACATTATTTGAAAGTACAGTGAACCCTCGTTATAACGCGGTTCACCTTTCACGGTCTCGCTGCTTCACGGATTTGCCTCGTGCATTGTGTTCTGCATTCTGATTGGCTGAACAGTCTCTCCAGTACAGTAGTTATTTGTAAAAAATGTTTATACAGTACTTTTATTTGTTAAACAAATGCTTGGGCCTGCAAAATGGTTTTGTTTTGAATGTATAATGGAGTATTTCATTGTATAATAATTGTAAAAAAAAATAAAGGTTACTACTTCACGGATTTCGCCTATCACGGGATCTTTTTGGAACGTAACCCCAGTGAAAAACGAGGGTTCACTGTATATGAAAAGATAATTCACTTTAATGTAAACTCTATAAATCAGTGAAGTTTAAAAGTGATAAATTGACTTACGTTTTTCTAAAACTGTCTCTTTTATTCCTCTCATATTAGTCCAAAACAGTAGAAAGAATTCAGTCGGTTCATCTAGTTAACAACTTCATTCAGCAAGAAAAAATGTTTTTCAATTAAAGGACTATTGTTTCTTGGAATTAGTATCTCCTGCCACTGAGCAGGTTTTAGACAGATTATGTCATGATGCAGCCATTTTGGTCAAACCTTGAAAAACAAACTGCTTTAATTTATCCAATGACTTGAGATTTGATGTTCAGAGTAAGTGTTATGAATGACTCCCAGCTACTACCACATCAACAATTAATGTAATATCTGTAAAAATGACTGCTAAAGCCATTTTCCTGTTTACTAAGGACAGTTAGCTGTGACAGCCATCTTGAAAGGAGAAGTAATCAGTTGTAGACGTGAATCCAGTAATTTATTTATTTCACTAAACCTGCTTTGTGGTTCATGAGATATTTTACTAACAGACAAACATGGCTGACTTCAACAGTTAATTCTAAAGTGTTAATCCAAAGCGTGTAGCACTCTGAGTATGTGTGGTGCAAGACTCTTAGCTAGTATGTAGTTCTAGCTCAATAACTGCAAAACTTGCTGAGTTATAGTTATTGTTGGGTTGGTTAAGACTGGTTAGCTGAGGTGGCCATTTTGAATTGGACTGGCTCCAATCGTCAACCTTTATTTAGACAGGTTAATCCCATTGAGACTTGGGGACTCATTTACAAGAGAGAGACTATGCACTTATTGGTTACTGTTTTAAGAGTGTGATTAAAATTTGTTGTGTGAGATACTTTGTTAACAGACAGGCAGAGTTGACACTATTTAGTTAACAACAAAGTTTTAAAAACAGATCTCGCTCAATCTGTTAGTCCTCAGATAATCTTAGTCCAAAAGTCTGGCATCAAAGATTGCAGGAGACATGCATTCCTTCAATGAACGCGATACCTGTAATCTCATGCAACATTTGCAAATTTGTCATAAAACCTGGATGAAAGAATAGCACCTTTCAACCATCTGTGTATGCTGTAGTGTTTAGAGTTGGTCATGGCCACTCAGGTTAAAGATCCAGATCCTCCTCACACTGAATCAGGACTCAAGTCTGAAGTCTCAAATAACTGAGAACCTACATCAAAGTTTCTTTATTTGTCATACTGTACATGTGGTGGAACAAAATTGTGTACACAGGGTCCCAGTCACATCCAGCTAAAGTATAAATGTAAACGAAAAACAGTAATAAGATCTGAGATATGAACTAAGAAAAAACAAACTAAAAATATGCTAAGCACTAGTGGTACAAAAACAATACTACCTGTCCTCTGGCAGACTAAATAGTTAGAAAAGTTACAGAAATCAAAATTACCAGGAAAATATCTATCTATCTATCTATCTATCTATCTATCTATCTATCTATCTATCTATCTATCTATCTATCTATCTATCTATCTATCTATCTATCTATCTATCTATCTATCTATCTATCTATCTATCTATCTATCTATCTATCTATCTATCTATCTATCTATCTATCTATCTATCTATCTATCTATCTATCTATCATCTATCTACCTACCTACCCATCCATCCATCCATCCATCCATCCATCCATC